TAATAATAATAATAATAATAATAATAATAATAATAATAATAATAATAATAATAATAATAATAATAATAATAATAATAATAATAATAATAATAATAAAGTAATAATAATAATAATAATAACAATAATAATAATAACAATAATAATAATAATAATAATAATAATAATAATAATTAGAAAGAAAAACCAGCCATCCAGGAAAAACTGAATTGAGAGAATTTCGCTTAAATTCAAATACTATTAAATTTAGGAAATTTTTCAAATAAACGGAAGTCTAGCAAATTTGTTTATTCTGGTGATGATGGCATATGCAAAGACTGGTCGAATATCGTATATAATCAGCTATCAACCTTTTCGGACCAGCTAGGAGAGAGCAAATGTGATTCAAGTTTAGTGTCATTTCATGTTAACTCGACAATATATGAAATATTTTATCAAAAAAGTTACGAACAATCACATGAAAAAATTCGCGAATTATCTTTAAATACAGAAGTTTTTCAAAATATACTTCCAGAGACGAAGAAAACGAGAAAAAAAAGTGGAATCAATGGTTGCCGCTGCTTCATTCGTCCAGTTTATTGTTTCCTGCTGTAGCCCACTCATTTTTACATTTGACTAAATGCATGCATGAGTTTTTCGTTAAAATGGTGATTTGTAAAGAATCAAAAGATCGCAATACATTCAGTTACATAAGAAAGCAATGACTTTAATTTAATTAAACAAAAAATTTAACGGAAATGTTACCACCAAAATCACCAGGACCCTGACATTTTGCAAAATCATATATCACAAACAGCAAGGAAGAATTTTAAAAAAACAAAAGTGGTGAGATATAGTAGGAATAAATAAAAACGTAAAAATGAAAATAGTAAAGAAAAAGAAACGAAGATTTTTCTAAAAACTACAGTCGTCTGTGACAATTTACCAAGCAACTTACAGCTGGCAAACTGTCACGATTCTATCCAAGGTTTTGGACACTTCTGCGGCGCGACCATTCGAAAACATTCGGTAGCTCCATGGATGCAGTTGCGACTTCTTCACTGACTATTAGACTTTTCTCTGACCTGCAATATGCCTGACTCATCACAAAAAAAAAATTACCTAACGAGAAAATGAATAAAAGTAGTAAGCGGTACTGATAGTCACTGAAAATCATCCATTGTATCCAGAAAATCGGTGTTCCTATTTTCGAAATTATGATGACTATTTTATTTTGTCCCGAAAACAATTTCAAAATTGTCCATTTTTCCTCGACAGCATAAATTTGAATTTGGATAAAATATAAAAAGTTAAATACCAAGAAATAAATTTCGTAAAAAGTCTGATCAACTAACAACAAAAAGCTTTGTGGTCTTCTCCGTGTTCTATCCTGCCACTGGGGTCCGTGTCCACGAAGCAAATTTTAACTATTCAGAACAAACTCCAAACAGACAATGCAGAGAAAGGTCAGACTACATACCTTCACGGTCTCTGAACAATGGTTCCCAAAATTACAGTTGTAGATAACAGAGCAAAAAAGATCAATATCAGCCAGTAAATATTCTTAGCCACTATTTAAGAAATGTTCTTAACCAGTCACTTTGCTCATTAATCAGTTCTCCAGTTAGAAAAAAAAAGAAAAAGAAACCAAATTGTGGGGATTTCATAACCAGGAAGAAGACACCTGTCTGCATTGTTTTTGAAACAAATATTCAAATTAGATTTTAAGACGATTGTTTCCTTAGATCCAAAGAAAAAAAAAAACAAGCGACGAAAGGGAAACAAGAACTGCGAGGCTACAAGAAGAAATAAGACTAATTAGAAGTGTTTTTTTTTTTTCTGATGGAATATTTTTGGCGATTATACGATGAATGAGCAGTTTTGCCATGATGGAAATCTATCGCAGCACTAATTTGATTATCACTATGTATTAGCTACTGCATTCGTGTTCAGTTTCCGTGGTTTCAAAAGTGTTTAGAGAGATAATGTTACTGCCATGTCAAAACAAAAGCAATCCCTAAAAGGTAAGCTTTTCAGCATGTCATATTCCTTCAGTTCTGTTGTCTGCAATAGGTTTTCACCTTTCTGACATGTATACAAGTATGCAATTTTCCTTGTTCATTATTTAGTATTCTAAAAGGTCTCATAAATATTTTTTTCTAGTCTCCATTCCTAAGTATGCACATAAGCATTCATATGCGTACTTACCTTGCTCTCAACGGATCTCCGTAACGTCACAATAAAGTTCAAGTGGATAATAAAATGAAAAGTAAAGATTATGGAAACTCACATTTGCCTTAGTTTCCTACAATTCCAAAAGTCCTCGAACAATTTGAAGACGGCTGTCATAATCAAACTCTTTAATCCAACATACCACAATGGTTTACAATCTTCGCTATGATAATGCTCGTTCTCCTAACAACGAACCATCAATAATTTTGAAAATATGCCCGGATTCTTCACGACGCTCTTGATATATTCGATCACAGGTTGAACAACGATAATACGCACAGTACTTCGAATAAATGGTTAGTCGGTATAAGCAAACATGCTTGTTATCCACAAAAACAGCTACATTGTTCCACGTCGATTCATGACGAACTTGTTGTATCTTATCATTCAGTTCAAAATACATAACACAAAATTAGTACCAGAAAGTATTGACGGTAAAAGGTACCTTTCATCCTCAATTACCACTGACAGCTGACCTTAAAAATCAAAAGATCGGATTCTCCAATAACTTTCATCATGGTAGGATATTTTCACCTTTTGTATATCTGTATACCTGTATACATCCATTCCTAATTTATGAGGAAATCGACAGAGCCCCTATTTCGACACTGGCTAATATCAACATTTTTTTTCCAAGCTAAATAAAATTTGCTTTTTAAATAAGTTAGCCTATTTTCGAGTTACTCGCATTTAATCAACAAATTTCGTGCAATGATTTAACAATTAGAAACATGAAAGCCTCTTTCTAGACATACTGCAATGCAGTGAACAACGACATAATTCAATATTTAAGTCGATTCGCATGCTGACTCACTTTTTTCGTTAAGTTCTTTTCGGTTTCGACAAAACATTTAAAAGACTAACTGATTTCACTCTTCCAGAATATCATATACACTTCTCTGTGATGGATGATTTCACCGTTTTCAGCTTTTCACAGATGTCTGATTTCCACAGCCTGTAGTAGTTCACCTTCTTAATAAATAATAATAACCACGATGTAATGACTAATGATCGAAAATTATTTGAATTTTGGATTGTTTGATTTCTCTCTTGAGAATACCATTTCATTATGCACTTCCCCGGCCCCTTGAAATAAATTGCTTTTGTCCCTTCAAAACCATTAAGCAGTTCAGGAGTAGGATATGACATATTTTTTTGCCAGTCAACTTTCCACTATTCTTGACAAAACTTGCAAGCGAGAATAATCTTCTACAACGAAGTGATCTTCGAAAAGATTTATTCCATGATTTAGGTAAGGAATCTCACGCAAGCATTTTCATTTCCATTCTGCAACAAAGTACCGCTCTGTGCCATTATTGAACCGTCAACATAAGCTCTTTTTCACCTAAAGTAAGGGAAAAACCGCTCGAAAGCATAGGCGTTCTTTGATACATATTCCAATCAAAACGCATACATCAAAAACATGGCAGAAGACAGGTTTTTCGATTCAGACTTATTCTAAAAAAGGGAAATTTTCTTTTCAAAATAACGCGATAAACAGCCAAGACTACAGTACGCGGTGAAACGATGAAGCTCCCTTAATTCCTGATCACAATCATCAAGAAAGGATTAATTACGATCCTTATTCAAATTATCCACGCAGACCTACTGATAGGCACTTTTGGTTGTGTTTAACCTTGCTGGGTGAGCACTCCGAAGTGATTTCTATAAGGCAGTTATACGTGTAACAACGAAACTAGCCTGTGTTTCTATTTAACCGACTGCTTATCATAAATACTGTCAACCGCACACTGAACATTTTGGAGAAAGTATTAAAGATGATCCCTGGAAATTCTTGTTCTATCACTAATCAGTTTTATAGAATAATCGAAATGAAGTTTACCTGACATTTTTAATTTCGTCAGAGATTGAGGGAATCCCAACATATCAGAATTTCTCCCAATGAAATAGCACCAGCAGACGACTGGAGAAAAATACTAATGACCAGACGGAGCTCATCAACTCTAGTTTGTAATTAACTTGTGGGATGTCTTTTTGCAAAACGCGACCAGGCGTGAGGTGCATTATATGTGTTGTTTATCATGTTCGGTTTAACGTATCTCGAGAATAAACATTGATTGAGGGGAGGTTAAGGGTCAGGTTGTGTCAGGTGATGCTTTGTTAGGGCAAGAGGGCGTAAGTTATTCCCGTTTTACTAGCAAAATATATCGGTTATCGTATGAGACAACGAGCCATTGTTTTAAATGTCTTGATGTACGTGGGAATATGCAGGGATATAACATAAGCTGGGGAATTACATGATCGTACGTGTACTTACAGAATGCATTCTTCAATCCTTTTTTTTCCCTTTGACATTTAGAAGTGCAGCATTAGGGACATCTTTTTAGAAGACATCTCTTTGGAGTCATTTCCAGTTTCATGGTGTTTTATATAGCGGTTATACGGCAACATAACTGCTACATAGTGATCCGGAAATAAGTCGCTGCACATAATACTGATGATTTGACTCTTCTGGCTATAGTTAGCTTATATGTGGTAAGTTCGTGTAACACAGAAGCTTCCAGCTATGTGTGCTGTTGTATTTTCCACCTGTCAGGTAGACATTTCTTTCTGGATATCTGAGTGAGATTTAGTAGAAGCTAATAGAGTATTATTGATGGTTTTACTCGAGTATAATTTAATACATACAATTTAAAATTTAATATAATTCAGTACGTAATTGGTATTTCATCCAAATGCTTGTTTATCAATTTATTTCTTAATCTCTGTACTCATTTATTAATTTGGTTGTATGCTTAATTTAGGTGCAATAGCAGTTTCGTATCATACTTATGGTTGGTCGGAGTTAGATTTGCTAAGGGAATTCTGAGGTGTCGCGGAACCGAAAAGTTAGTGAGTTTTCTGGACATCCAACATCGTGTTGTTTGACATGTATCCTTTTTTGATTTAACGGTAGCCCCCTCGCATGGATAGATCTCATTTTTTAATGCCCGGGAAAGTGTCACACAGTTTGCTGAAATATGAAATAAACCTTACTGTTGTAAAATTGTAAAAGCTAGATGATTTCGGCACCGTTGTAATAAATGACATACATGATGAGTCATCCACACGTCCTGCATATTCATTCCTAGTTACTTAATTGTTGAATTTATAATACTTTATGGATAGTGTTGTTTTATCATGATAAGAGGTGAGTAAAGGTAAATGTTGTTAGGCAATCGTTTTAGCGTGGAAAATAAAAGTTTTGTCGGGAGACGTTAGGTTTTTGCGTTACAATATTCCTTTACTTACGATCGTCTGAAAAGTTTAAAGGACGACGAAATTGACTGAAAAGCGTTAGATGTGACGGCATAAGATCAGCGAGAATTTGAAATCATCTTGTTTAGGAAATAGCAGTGGAAAGTTAAACTGAAAGTGTTAGTCTGATTGTTTGGCTGATTTAAAAAAAAAAAATGTAAATTTTTCAGTCCACGCATTTGTATAGTAAATTTTTGGACATGGTCGAGATTTTGTCTTATGGATAAGGTGGGTGGTAATGGTGTTTCTCATTTCTTGCGAGTTTAAAAGGTTCATTTCGAGAAATGAGAGTTAAATGATTTAAAGGTTTCTTGAAAAGTGATGTGAATTGTGTCTTATTATGTCAGTTTTCTTTCTTTTTATGCTAGTCTGGATCATTTGGGGATTGAAAAGAACCAATAGTAAAATATTGTCTGGACTGGAAATATGTAGGGTTTTTACAAATAATGTCCGTGCTGTCGTAATTGTCGAATTGAGATCATCCGTATTATATCATTTATTTCATTATGGTGTATCACTTCTTGATAAATGGCATGCCTGTAGCTGTAAGAAATACGGCCGTGCAAAAGATTTTTGGAATTGGGAAAAAAAGGTTGTCATTACAATGTTCCGTTTAATTTAGCCATTGGTTCAAGTATTTGTCAACGGTTAAATGATTTAAAACAGTATGTTGAAATTCAATCGTTAATTTTGTCGGATGTTGAGGTTTTCAACCGCTGCCGAAAATAACACATCATTTGAGAACATTGGAATGCTTTGTAATATCATCGTCGTTTTGGTGCAACCTGATTGCAATAGGGTGTAACGCTATTGTTTGTCTGGTGTCTATGTCTGTGTATATTATATATGTATATATGTGTGAGTGTGTGCTTGTGAGTGTGTGTTTGTCTGTATGTGTGTATGTGTTTGTATATGTTTGATTGGGCATATTTGCCCGTATGGTCTGCAGTCCTTAACAAATAGCGGAATGTGGAAGTGGAAAGGGTGAGCTGTCTGCTCGGAAGTTGATGCAAATCCATTAATTAATCAAATCAAAGCAAATAGTTTTATCAAAAAGGAGGAATGAAATCCACTGGAATAGTCTAATTTAAAATAATTTAGAAAAATTTTATTAAATGAATTTCTGACCAAATAAAGAAAAAAGAATGTAGAAAATTGCAGAATTGAAATGAATAAATGGATCAAAAAAAAAGTTTTTGTTACAAGATGATCTGGTTGTATAACATGTTATCAGTTGAACTTCGAACTTGCATAGTTTTCGTAAAATTTTAACTAGGAAAGTAGGATTTTGGATAATGTTTACAAATACTATTATTGTTATGGGAAAATGTAAAATGCATATTCTTACTTTTCTCTCCATTACCTTTCTCCTATGTTTTTCTTTTTCTCTGCTCTGCATTTATGCAACAAATAAGAATTATTGCATTTAATTTTGTATCTTGGTTATTAGTTATTGGTTATTAGCTTGTTTGTTTGTTGAACGGGTCAAACATATTTTCATATTATTATGTTTTATTTAGTCAGTGGAATTTGAATAATTAAGCATAATATTACTGTTGGTATTATGTTGTAAAGAATTGATTTTGTTGGGACTTCCGAAATGTTTGCTGCAGTCAAGAACTTTAAAAAAAAAGTAATGGATTTTAAATGTTATGAAACGATCAGATTAGATATTTGATGGGGCGTTAGCCAATGATCTGTCTGATTTCTGGATGTTTAAGCATGCTGTGTGTTGTGTGTTTTGTAATGTGGAAAAAAATATTCATGATATGATCTCTTAGTCAGTGCTGAGACAAAATGTGCTGATATTCTTTGTCGTGTGGGAACTCAACAAAATTTTGTTTTGATCAGATAAAAAAGAATTGAAGAATATCTCATGTGCCAATTCTAATTGCTAGTTTGATTCCTTCAAGTTTTTCAGCAAGCGATGTTTTAATGCACGCGGATTTCAGAAAAGAATGCCGCATTTCAGTGATTACATAACTTGTCGAATTTTGTTGCATAACAAATTCTAGAATGTCTATTTCAGAGATTCCAGTCAAGTGGTGAAGTGTAACTGATACTGCAGACCTTATCCATGCACATCTTTAATTTGCTTCAGAATAGAGGATTGATGGAGTCTGGGAGGTATCATTCATTTCTTTGAAACTAATTATTAAGGCTGTAGTTATATCCAACGGATAAAAGGGTAGGAGGCAAGTATCATCGTCCAACTTTTGTTACCGGAGTTAATGAGCCGTTGAGTCGTGTTTGGCGTGTTTGACTTACAGAAGGAAATTGGGATAGCTGTACGGAATATATGTATATATAT